TGTAGTCCATGCAGCATGTCGGGATCGCCTGCCTTCCGCTCCATGCCATCTGCCCTGCGCAGCCCCGGAGTGCACCAAGGGACCAGTGGGCTGCAGCTGCTGCCAGCCACTGTCAGCTTCCCAGTTCTTGTACACCAGGGGTGGGGTGCCCAACTGGGCTGATCACCCTAAAATCTTGTTTCCCCAAAAATAAGTCCTAGTGCTTATTTTGGGGGCCAAAAGAAAATAAGACTGGGTCTTATTTTGGGGAAAACATGAGTATTAGTGATCAGTTAAACAAGCTTCATGCATAGAATATCATTTGATTATATCTGGAGGGCAGAAGGACACATGTAAAATGAAAGCAATATTTTATATTTACCTCTGCAGTGTATAGTTCATTTTGATTATATACTGTTTCTTCTTTTACTGTTGCTTTTGTTTTTAATACTGCACATGTACATTTAAAACAAGAAATACTACACTATCTTGTACTGATAAGAGTTTAAGGTAGTATATCTAATTTATTTTCCATGCCATTAACTTCTGGGTTGCAGTACCTCTATATTCTTTCTAAAGTTTTAAAAAAGGGCTTTTTAAATCTGCATTAGAAAGAAAGCCCTAACAGCTTATTTCTCCATTTTCTAAGACATATGTAGAGGAAAGGAAAAACAGATGGGGTTTACCACTGTGAGAGATTTCTGGTAATAATTATTTCCAACTCACACACATTCAGCTGTCAACTCTGATTTATTCTTGAAATGAAGCTGGATTTGGTTGCCAGTGATGTGCTTCGTTTCTATTTCCTACATTATGTATAATTGTATGTGTGTGTGAAGTGCCATCATCCAATCACCATTCAGTCTATGTGCCACCTATAATAATGAAAAAGCCACATTTCTCTTTCATTCTTTTAACTAAAGTGCTTGATTTTGTGGTCTAAATTGGTGCTTCAGTTTAACAGGAGAGCTGGAAAAACCAAAACAACAATTATGTTGGGGTCACATTCTAGCCTTTCCAATTTATTCGCCTAGAGCATATTTTCCCCCTCTGGGCATAATAAAACTAATATGAATGAAGAATTTCCCCTGCCTTTCCCATCCTCAATCTGGTCTATAAGTAATGTGTTTTTAAGCCATAAACATAAGATATAAAGACATCTCCCTTTAAATAAAACTTGCTCTCCCTTCACTGTCACATGCAAGTGCTCATCTATTTGCTGGAGAAAAAAAATCCTACTCCCGCCCCCTTTTACGATATTCCCCCCCCCTTTTTTTCTTACTCTATGCAATAGAAATTCAAGCAAGTGGATTATTACACGAACGGTATCCACCAAGGGCAAGGAAATTCCTTTGCAATAAACAATAGCCGGCTCGTCTTCCATGTCTTTGGCTGCCGCCATCGAGCAAGGTCAGTCCCGCTGCGGCAGCAGCTGCGGAGACTAGGAAAAAACCCACCCCGTCTCTCCCGCCCTTCCTTCTTGCTTGGAGCGCGGCAGCTGCAACGCCAAGCAGGCTGATCCGGCCATTGGCGCTGTTGAACTCAACCTAAAGGAGCCGTCCTTCCGCCTCCTTTCCTTGCTCGGCCGCCGAAATCGCTGTCCATACGTGCCGCGGTGCTGAACTCGACACACTGCACCGCGGGGAGCTGTCCAACGCCTCCTGGGTGCTGAAATCGGATTCCTTTCCGGAAAGAAGACTAGACTAGGGGCGTAAGTAGAGCTCTCTCTGGGTCCCACGGCAGACCTCTCAGATGGGCCCCACCACAATGGGAAGCGAGCTTATTCCGGTGCCTAGGCCTTGCGTCTCATAAGATACACCGAGGAGAGAAACAGCAGCGGTATCAGCAGTAGCTGGAAGCGTTCTTGAGGAAAGGCGGAGTGGGGGTGGAGGGGTGGGGAGATCGATGACAACCAGATCGGCGTTGCAAAAAATCTGGGCAACCTTTAGATGGCAGCAAAGAAATGCAGCTTTCTACGTTCCTTTTTGCTGCCATCTAATGGTCGCCCTAATCGGTGAGCGCTGAGGTTTTTTTTTTTTTTTTTGCCACTCTCGCCTGCAACCCGCTTTCACCTGCTGTGCCGCCCCCACCCATCGTGCTGCCCCAAGCAAATGCCTGAGCTCCTCTACGGGCAAGCGCTGGCCCTGCAGCGGTCCGCAGAAGTTCCCCGGCCCGCCACTCCTGCCTCGACCACATATGCGCCATTGAAAACAGAGGAGGGCCGCGCGGTGGAATATGGGTCGAAAAGGTGGCGGCAAGAGCAGCGAGAAGCCCGACCGTAGCTTGCCGCTTTCGTGTTGATCGCTTCCATCCTTCCTACTCGGCCGTCTTGGAACACAAAGCAGCCGCAGCTATGGAAGAAGAGCTGAAGTGCCCCGTCTGCGGTTCTCTCTTCCGGGAGCCCATCATCTTGCCCTGTTCGCACAATGTCTGCCTGCCCTGCGCCCGCACCATCGCTGTGCAAACGCCGGAGTCCGAGCAGCATCTGCCCGCCATGCTGCACCCTCGGGGCCCTGCGGCAGCGGCAATGCCAAGCGCTGGAGCTACAAGCGGCCCGGCTTCTCTGGACTACGAGTGCAGCGCCGGCGGAAGCAGTGGGACCGGTGGCGGTGGCGGAGACCACGCCGACAAGGTGAGCTTGCACAGCGAGACGGACAGCGGCTACGGCTCCTACACCCCGAGCCTGAAATCTCCTAACGGGGTGCGAGTGTTGCCCTTGGTGCCTCCGCCTCCGGGACTGTCGGCCGCGGCGGCTTTGGCCGGGCCCCGCGGGAGCGGAACCAGCTCTTCGCTCACCTGCCCGCAATGCCATCGCAGCGCTTCCCTGGATCCCCGCGGCCTGCGCGGCTTCCAGCGCAACCGCCTCTTGGAGGCCATCGTGCACCGCTACCAGCAGAGCCGGGCCGCCGCTTCGGCTATGGCCAAATGCCAACTGTGCGACCGCAGCCCTCCGGAGGCGGCCGCGGTGCTGTGCGAACAGTGCGAGGTGCTCTACTGCTCGGCTTGCCAGGTCAAATGTCACCCGTCCCGCGGGCCTTTCGCCAAGCACCGCTTGGTTCCTCCCCCCAGCCAGCAGCAGAGCGCCCCTAGCGGCGCGGGTGGGGCGTGCGGCGGAGGAAGCAAAGTCCTGGGGCTTGCCCGCAAGTCCCCAACCTGTGCGGATCATGAGCTGGAGAACTACAGCATGTACTGTGTGTCCTGCCGGACCCCCGTCTGTTACCAATGTCTGGAAGAAGGGAAACACTCCAAGCATGATGTGAAAGCCCTGGGAGCCATGTGGAAACAACACAAGGTAAGCCTTGCCCACCAGGGCCTACCCTGCTCCACATATGCCAACGAGGCTTCTGGGTGTTACCTGCTACATGAGGAGAGGGGTGCGCCTCTTCTAATGGAAGTTTATTAATTGTTTACTTATTAAATTTATATGCCATACTTCTCACTCTCTTGAGTCACTCTGGGCTACTTCCCAAGGGTGAATAAAACAGACAGCTGAGGCCTAGAGGTGGAGCTCTGGTCTCTCAATCAGGTGGTTGTCAGTTTGAGCCTAGATAGAGGCAGATGTAGGGTCTCCTGCTTAGGTAGGGGGTTGGACTAGATGACCTGCAAGGTCCCTTCCAATCAGTTAATCTATTAAATAATTCCCCCCTAAAACTTTCCTGGGCATTCTTGTTGCAGAGAAGAGTCACAATGTTGAGCAGTGGAAGAAAAGATAAATGTCATAGGCACTGCAAGGAATGTCTCTGAAGAAGTGCAGAGTTTATATCTGATGTCCTTCATGGAAGATTGAAATCGGGGTCACTGTTGTATTATGTGCAGCTGCCAGGCCGACTTTAGCACTGGTACTTCTCATTTTAGAAAAAAATGCTGCCTTTTTATTAAGACGAGAATTATTTACACGATCTGAACAGAAAGCAGATAATTTTACACAACTTTCCTTAACAAGATATTTATACATAAGGTGTAATCAAGGATAAATTGTCTGACTTCGAATGGGCATTTTTAAACACTCCTGTTCTTTTAACGATTAGATGCATGCACAGTTCTTTACAATCTCTATTCTGCTTCTCTTAGCAACAGGTCTTATTCACCTTTTAAAGGAGTGAGTTAATCAGTTTTGAAGATAACTTCAGTATTAATGGCAAAATGAGACTAACAATATATCTTCCCACTTGCCTCAATAACCCCCATTCATCTCCTGTGCCATCTGTCACAAAAGGGGATGGTTTGGCTTTTCTCCCAAGCAAAGTTTTCATAGCAGCTTCAGAGCCACCAATTTCTAGCATAAGAATAGTTCAAGGTGTCCCTTGTGAGCCAAAGATTCAGGTCACTGTGAATATCAGGAATTCTTTGGGATTTTGAGAAGATACATTCTGAGCAAAGCTTTGTGGGAAAGAAGTTTGCAGCCAATCACCCGAGAGATTTTTAAACATTTTGTTTAAAACAACCAGTTGACTAAAACAACCATGATTTTGCATGCAAAATGCTATACAAATCAACTTACAGAAATAAAGCTTAAACGATAAACAAAAAATGAATTAAACACCAGTAAAAAGAAAAAAAACAGCAGCCAATTAAAACTGACTGTAGCAGACAATGTCCCATCTGAATAAAAATGCATTTGCCAACTCACAGACACAAAAAAGGGAAAAGCAATCTGGCCTTCCTTCGTAGGTAGCTTCAAAGTTTGGAGCAACAATGGAAAAGGTGCGTGTTCAGGCATCTTCTGAATATACCTCTCTGATGATAGCAGGACTAAAGAATAGGTTCTTCCTCAAAACTTTTTTTTTAAAAAATATATTTTTAATTTTCGAAACAAACACAACACAAAGAATCCTCCTTTTTTACATACTGTAGAAAGTGTATCAGTTGGTTATAAAAAACTTTCGTGTACCTCTTCCATAGTCATCAATCATAATTCATATTAGCTCAAGTATTTTAACTCCAATATTTATACATATTACCATCATCATATCTCCATTTTCATTTGACTACAATTGTTTAAACATCCTTCATCATAAAATATATCAAGATTTAAAACATAACCACATACTGGCATTTCATTTGCTATTTCTAAAATTCTCCAATAACACTGAATCCTTACGGCCTATTCTAGGTAAATATCCATGATATCTAGTAACAAACATTTCTAATTCTCCTTACCAAATCACTATTTACCATTTACATCCAGATTCCTTATGTTGTACCCATACATATATATTTTCCTTTGTATCATCATCCCTCTTTTATTTGACTGTATCCTGTATCATAACAATTTTCCCCCTTATAATCAAAATTTAACTAAATTTAACTTAGTTCTTTTTTATTAGCCTTTATCTATAACAAAAAGATTTCTAATCTTCCTTTCATGGGTACCATTCAAATATTCAAATATTCATATCCAATTATTACTTATCATAAGTAATGTAAGTGGGCTCCCATATTTGTATGCCAGAATAAGACTTTTCAAATAAACCATTGCCATATGTAGGTCAGAATCTGTTATAGTAAAACAGATTGGTCATTAGTGAATCTTTGTAGAAAGAACCACATGCTCCCCATACTGGTAACCTTTTTGATGAATGTATCTTATCTTTTTATGTACACTGAGAGCATATGCACCAAAGAAAAATTCCTTGTGTGTCCAATCACACTTGGCCAATAAAGAATTCTATTTGACTTATGATCACAGTTGAGGCCCAAATTTCTTAACAACCAAAGACAATTGTTAAGTGAATGTTGGCCCATTTTATCACCTCTTTTGCCAAATTGTTAAGTGAATCACTGCAGTTGTTAAGTGAATCATGTGGTCGTTAAGCGAATCTGGGTTCTCCCATTGATTTTGCTTGTTAGAAACCAGCCGGGAAGATTACAAATAGTGGTCACATAATTCCAGGATAATACAACTGTCATAAACACTTGCCTGCTGCCCGGTGCCCAGAGGTTGATTACATGACCATGGGAAGGCTGCAACCGTTATAAGTGTGAAATCCATTCATGTCACTTTTTGCAGTGCCATTGTAACTTCAAAAAGCACTAAATGAATCATTGTAAGCTGAGGACTATTTCTAATCAGTTCCACATCCAAGATGTGTTTTTAAATAGAAGGTGGATCTCTTATCTGAAATCACAAATTACCCTAAATTAAAGCAATTGGAAATGATCAATTGCCTACAGTCATGTTCCTTTTTGTTTTCCTTTTATTTTCTATTTGATACTAAAATTGAGGAGCATTTAACTATTTGCAGCAAATGATTTTAGGCTATGACAAGAATTAAAAATATGTTATGCATAGATGGAGCTTTAAAACAATGTTCATATTATTTTTTATTAAATACAACTATGCTGTCCTTACTCTTAAGCAGATCTTGAGATTGACTTGAAAACCAATTAAGCCCATTTGTCCTTGCTGGGAAGGAAGATTATTGATTATTCACTTTGTACTTCAATGAAATGTCTTTTATTGCTAAATAATACATACTTTATACAATGTACATCCCTCAGGAGACTGTATCAGTTCCTTTATTTAGAGGTAGGATTGCTTTGACTCTGTATACCCACACAGATACATGCACAGCATACAGGAGCCTCCTTTTATTGATAAAGTAACATGTCTGGAAAAAAGGCTATTAACATGGTCTTTATATGTGCTAACTTTGCTTAAGGGCTTTTAAAAAAAAAACCTGCAGTGCAATAAAAAACATCTGCATTGACTTCTCAACAGAGCTTGAGTGGTGAGCGAGGGCTCCTATCTCTTCAGTATCTCAAGACAACCCCACAGCTGTTTCCTTGTTTCAGCGTGTGCCTATATGCAGCCGATCTTCCTTCCCTTCCATTATACTAGCAATGATTTTCTATTTTTCCTGCAGAAAGATAAAAAAGAAATTTGTATTTTCTCCAACTTCAAAAAGCTACTAAGAGGTTTTTCAGATGAAAGGTATTCAGTAGCTCAGCTTAATAGGGCGAGGTGAGCCCCCTAGTGCGGCGATGGCAAACCTTTTGGACTTGGCATGTCGAAAAATTTGATTCTGCTTTTGTGTCACCCCTCCCAAACAAAAGAAAATCAATTATCTAGCTCTGCCCCCTCCCTCATCAAATTTAGGTTATCCTGAATGGTGGCATATGGCAATTGAGGCCGACCCTGAAGTAGAGCTCTAGACCCACCATGCTATTCAAAAATGGTGCCTTGTGCTGTTCCCAAAGGTGTGTGAGGTTGTGGCGATTGACCTTGTAGCCCAGAGCTCCTCATGATCTGCGCATATATCTTCAGGTGGTGTTTTCTTTCTGTTTACAGGCTCCAAGGCTGTTCTGGGTCATACACAGTCTTTCTTACAGGGACATGCAGTCAGGGGAGGCAGGGGAGGCAGAGCCTCACCACTGTCATCATGGAAAGAAAAAATATGTAAAAGGAAAAAGG